AAGGAATTTATCTCCTGTGTTTTCTTCTAGGAGTTATATGGTTTCAGGTCTTCCATTCAAGTTTTTAATCCATTTGGAGTTGATTTTGTATATGGTGTAAGGTAGGGGTCTGGTTTCATTCTTTTGCATGTGGCTGTCTAGTTTTCTTAAAACCAACCGTCCTTTCTCCATCACATATTCTTAGCTCCTTGCTTATAGATTAATTGACCATATATGCATGAATTTATTTTGGACTCTATTCTTTAAAAAAAAGATTTTATTTATTAATTTGAGAGGGAGAGCGAGCATGAGCAGGGTGGAGGGGAGGGGCAAAGGGAGAAGCAGATTCCCCACTGGGCAAGGAGCCTTCAGGACCCTGAGGTCATGACCTGAGCCAAAGGCAGACACATAGCCATCTGAACCACCCAAGCACCTCTCTGTACTCTATTCCTTTCAACTAATTGATGTGTTGGTTTTATGCCAATACCATACTGTTTTGATTATGATAGCTTTGTAATATAAATTTGAAATCAGGAAGTGTGACACCTGCAGCATTCTTTCTTTCTTTCTTCTTTCTTTCTTTCTTTCTTTCTTTCTTTCTTTCTTTCTTTCTTTCTTCTTTCTTTCTTTCTTTTTTAGATTGCTTTGGCTATTTGGGATCTTTTGTGGTTCCATACAAATCCTAGATTTTTTTTTAAATTTCTATGAAAAATGCCATTGGAATTTTGATAGGAATTGTATTATATCTGTAGCTAGCTTTGGGTAATGCAGACATTTTAACAATATTAATTCTTCCAATCCACGAGCATGGAATAACTTTCCAATTATTCGAGTCCTCTTAGGATCCTTTGTACTTCTATGGAGCTAGTTGTAATGTCTCCTCTCACTTTTCTGAAGTTATTTATTTTAGTCTTCCCTCTTTTTCTCCTATTGAGCCTAGCTAGAGGTTTGTGTATTTTGTTTATTTTTAAAGAGTTAGCTCTTAACTTCAAGTTTCTATTGTTTTAGGAGTCATTATTAACCCTTCTACTGTGGCTACATTGAATGGTGCTGCTATGAGCATAGGTGTACTAAATTTAGAAATTTACATCTGATTGACATCATCTTGTATGCCTTGTGGAGATCATCTTGGAAGATGAGATTTTACAAGTTTACTGCTTAAACTTTTGAAACTCAGAATTTATTTTTTTTCCAAAAGTCTTGCTTGCTTATTTATTTATTTATTTATTTATTTATTTATTTATTTATTTATTTATGAGATACACACAGAAAGAGGCAGAGACATAGGCAGAAGGAGAAGCAGGCTCCCCTCAGGGAACCCGATGTGGGACTCGATCCTGGGGCCATGGGATCGCACCCTGAGCCAAAGGCAGATGCTCAACTGCTGAGCCACCCAGGCATCCCTGAAACTCAGAATTTCTCTCTCTCTTTTTTTTTTTTGTAAATTTATTTTTTATTGGTGTTCAATTTGCCAACATATAGAATAACACCCAGTGCTCATCCCATCAAGTGCCCCCCTCAGTGCCCGTCACCCAGTCACCCCCACCCCCCTGCCCACCTCCCCTTCCACCACCCCTAGTTTGTTTCCCAGAGTTAGGAGTCTCTCATGTTCTGTCTCCCTTTCTGATATTTCCCACTCATTTTTTTCTCCTTTCCCCTTTATTCCCTGTCACTATTTTTTATATTCCCCAAATGAATGAGACCATATAATGTTTGTCCTTCTGATTGACTTATTTCACTCAGCATAATACCCTCCAGTTCCATCCACGTCAAAGCAAATGGTGGGTATTTGTCATTTCTAATGGCTGAGGAATACTCCATTGTATACATAAACCACATCTTTATCTATTCATCTTGAAACTCAGACTTTCATACTTGGCTACACCATCCTTCCATTGAAGCAATTCTCATTATTTTTTACTAATAAACTTTATTTTTTAGATGAATTTTAGATTTACTGGAAAACTGAGCAGAGAGTATAGACTTCTCATATACTTCCATGCACACAGTTTCTCTATTTTTAACATTTTACATTAGTATAGAACCTTTGCTACAATTCATGAACCAGTCCTAATACATTATTATTAACTAAATCTCATAGTTGATTCAGATTTCCTTCACTTTTCCTCCAATATCTTTATCTGCCCAGAATCCCATCCATGATTCCTAAGTACATTTGATCATCATGTCTCCTTAGGTTCCTCTTGGTTACGACAGTTTCCCAAACTTTCTTTGTTTTTGATGACTGAGCATTCTGAAGAGGACTGGTTAGGTATTTTGCAAGATGCCTCCTTCTTGTAATTTGTCTGATTTTTTTTCTCCTAGTTAGACTGGGGTGATGGATTTTGGGAGGAAGACTGCAAAAGTGAAATGTTTTTCTCATCCTTTCATGTTAGGGGTGTGTGCTGTGGCAATGGCTTAACACTACTGATGTTGGCCTTGGTCACATGACTGAGGTGTGTTGGTCAAGTTTTTCTTTTTCTTTTTTTAAGATTTTATTTGTTTATTCATGAGAGACACACAGAGAGAGGCAGAGACACAGGCAGAGGGAGAAGCAGGCTCCCTGGGGGGAACCCAATGCAGGACTTAATTCCAGGACCCCAGGATCAGGAGCTGAACCAAAGGCAAATGATCAACCACTGAGGCTCCCCTGGTCAGGTTTTTCCACGATAAAATTACTCCTCATCCCCTCACTTTCCATATTGTCCTCCTTGGAAGGAAGTCACTATGGTGAAGTCCACACCTAAGGAGTGGGGAGCTACTCCTCCTTTAGGATGGAGTAGCTACATTGTGAAAATTATAAAGCGAAACTTCATTTAAATGAAGTTGCGATGTGTGGCAGGGGGGAACTCTGATGCCCTACCACTCATCATTGATTGCAAACCCAATAGGAAGAGCCACATCTTGCACCTGGATACTATTTAACTATATCAGCAGGAGGAAGAAAGTTTTCCTCCTCCCCCGGCAGCAGTATAGCCAATGGCAGACAGTCACAACTCCCCTAATGAGAAGCCACTTTACTTCAATCTCCCAGGTTACTCCAATGGACTTCATCTATGATGCCTTCCCAATTTTCTGCTTTCCTCTAGAAAAGAGCAGTCCTCTCCTTTGTTTGGCAGACTTGGCATAGGTTTTGCTCGCTATGGATTGCAGTTTGGTGCTATTCCTGAATAAATCTATTTTTGCTGATAAAATAACTGGCAGTTTAAAAAAAACATTTTATTTATCTTTTTGAGAGAGAGCGCGCGCACCAGAGACAGTGAGACAGCAGAAGGAGGAGCAGAGGGAGAGGGATGAGTAGACTCTGTGCTGAGCATGGGGTCTCATGTGGGTTTTGATCTCTGGACCCTGCGATCCTGACCTGAGTCAAAACCAAGTGCCCATAACTGGCAGTTTCACTTCTAGGGTTGACAATATAAAGTATTTGAAATTCTGCACAAGGGCTTTGTCTCTTCTTCTCCACTTACAAATATATTCAACCACTTATTTATATCAATATGGACTCATGGATATTTATTTTATTTTTATTTTTTAAAATTGTATTTATTTATGATAGGCACACAGTGAGAGAGAGAGAGAGGCAGAGACACAGGCAGAGGGAGAAGCAGGCTCCATGCACCGAGAGCCCGACGTGGGATTCGATCCCGGGTCTCCAGGATCGCGCCCTGGGCCAAAGGCAGGCGCTAAACCGCTGCGCCACCCAGGGATCCCCTTATTTTATATTTTGAATTATAATCCAAAAGTATTCTATTTATTTTATTGCTCACATTGTTCCAGTTTTAGCCATTGGAGGCTTTGTCAGTTGGCTTCTGTGCTCCTTTGACATACAGACCAATATGGCTTCTCTTTCTTTTCTTCTACTCCTTCTTTCCTTTCTTTTCTGTACATCCCTATTTCTGCCACTTACACCACGCTCATCTTGCATATTTTTTTGTCCCACTCCTACAATCAGCCATTTCTCTAAGGAGCCCTGATTCCTTTTTAATGGAGAATGGTATTAGAAATCAAGATGCAGGGGTACCTGCGTCAGTCAGTTAAAAGTCTGGCTTTGGCTCAGGTCACGATCCAGGGGTTCTGGGATCGAGCCCCACGGGCTCCCTGCTCAAGGGGGAGCCTGCTTCTCCCTCTCCTTCTACTGCTCCCCCTGCTGTGCACTCTCTCTGTGAGTGTGCCGCTCTCTGTGTCAAATAAAATCTTAGAAAAAAAAGATAGGGATCCCTGGGTGGCCCAGCGGTTTGGCGCCTGCCTTTGGCCCAGGGCGCGATCCTGGAGACCCGGGATCGAATCCCACGTCGGGCTCCCGGTGCATGGAGCCTGCTTCTCCCTCTGCCTGTGCCTCTGCCTCTCTCTCTCTCTGTGTGACTATCATAAATAAATAAAAATTAAAAAAAAGATAAACTGAGGCACATAAACATTTTTTAAAAATTTATTTGAACAAAAAGTTTGAATCAGGCAGCACCATGCTACAAGTAGTTAGACCTGCTTCACCAACCCTCTCCACGTGCACCACCCATCCCAGCACCTCCAAGTGTTCACCAATCCCGAAGCTCTCCTAACTCCATCCTTCAGTGTTTTTAGGGAGGCTTCAATACACAGGCTTCAGGTGGTGGGAACTGAAAGTTCCAACCCCCTATTCCTCGGTTGGTTCCCCAGGCAACCGGGCCCCAAACCTTAGGTGACCTGAGGGCTTTCCAGAAGTCACCTCATTATCATAACAAAAGACACCTTTAACGCTCTCCACACAGAGGAAATTCCTTTTTTTTTAAATTTAAATTTAATTTGCCAACATATTATAACACCCAGTGCTCATCCCATCAAGTGCCCTCCTCACACACAGAGGAAATTCCAAGGGTTTTCTGGCACTAGGTTCCAGTGCCAGAAAAGAGGACAAAAACCAAATAGATATTTATTATAAATCACTATATTACAGAGACACACAAAGAAAAACACATTTTTATAAGAGAAAATAAAAAAGAGAAAAACACATTCTCCCAATAAATCTGGGCCAGGAAGTGCAATAGTTAGGGGTGGACCCACTGAACCCCAAAAAAGGTCTCATCAGCATTTGGGGATGGCAGCAGAGGCAGGGTGAGGTTGGTGCAGAGAGTGTCTCCTCGACCCAAGGGTGTCAGGCGCTGGGAGGTGACCACACAACCTCCGTGAAAGTTGAGGCGTAGCAGGCTGATGCTGCGAGCTGCTGGGGAGCAGATGCCCACCGTCAGGGTGGCCCTGTGGGGCGTGGTGGCCCATAGGGAGGAGGAACAGTTGGCCAGTGTCACTTGGATGTGCAGCCTATAGATGCCACTGCGCTGGACATGCAGCTGCCCGTTGTCCAGCTCCGGTCCATGCACGAAGGAGCGGCCCAGTGCTGGGCCTCCTTGCCAGCGCAGCCTGCAGTCCTGCCGCTGTCCTGGGGGCAGAGCGTCAGGGAGGTGGGAGGACGGAGGTTTAGGGAAACAGCGCTATAGCCCCAATGTCCACAATTCCTCTGTCGAACCCTAACCCCCAAGATAATGGTATTGGATAATGCCTTTGGGAGGGGATGAGATCCTGAGTGTGGAGACCACTCTCCCCGTTCCTGCCACGTAAGGGCACGGAGAAAAGATGGTCATCTAGAAACCAAGAAGCAGGTTCTCACCAGCCACGGAGAATCTGCTGATGCCTTGATATTGGACTTCAGTTTCCAGAACCATGAGAAAGAAATGTCTGTTGTTATAAACCACCTAATTTACGGCATGGTGTCTCAGCAGCCAGAATAGAAAGTGCCAGAGAAGAAAAAGAGGAACAGGGTTTCCCTCCACTACAAAATGGAATGAACACAGCATCCAAACCTCTGGGGATGAGTGGGAAAGGCCCCACGGTGGGGAGGGCTAGAGGGAGGGGGAGGGTCTCCCCACGGGCCACCCAGTGGCTGGCTCCCTCACCACCTTCACCTCTTTCTCTAAGGCCACCTTCTCAGGGACGCTGCCGCTCCCGAGGACCCCACTGTCCCCAGCAAAGCCAGCCCTGGTGCGCCCCAATCCCCTCCCCTGCTTAATCTTTCTGTAGGACATGTCCGAGGCGGCGGGGTGTACCCCCCTCCCCTCGGCGTGTAGGTAGTTTGCATGTTCATGTATTTACTGGCTGAGCCTCTGAGTAGAAGGGGAGCCCCGCTCCCTTGTCTGCGGTGGCACCTGAAACAGCGCCGGGCTAAGGCCTGCGGGGCGAAGGGAGGAACCTGGCGACTGTGCTGAATGCGCTTTCTTCCCCCCAAAGGCGGACGGTAAAGGGCGAGGGATGCAGAAGGAGCAAGGTCGTAGGGAGCCAGAAACACACTACCCGCCCTCGCCTTCCTCTCCCTCCCGGGCTCGCTCTCTCTCCCTTTCTCCGGCTCTTTCTCTTTCTGTCTCTTTATCGCGATTTCTCATTCTCTGTCCCTCTCTCTTTCTGCCACCCACGAGCGCGCGCGAGGTTACCTGTGTGATTCAGCTGGAGCTCAGCCATGTCCCACTGGAAGAAAAGAAGGGGAAACCGGTGGGCACATGAGCATGAAGGTTTTAAGTCCCCCCCCTTCCCGGTGGGCACATGAGCAAGAGGGTTTTAAGTCCCCCCCTCCCGGTGGGCACATGAGCATGAAGGTTTTAAGTCCCCCCCTCCCGGTGGGCACATGAGCATGAAGGTTTTAAGTCCCCCCCTCCCGGTGGGCACATGAGCATGAAGGTTTTAAGTCCCCCCCTCCCGGTGGGCACATGACATGAAGGTTTTAAGTCCCCCCCTCCCGGTTGGGCACATGAGCATGAAGGTTTTAAGTCCCCCCCTCCCGGTTGGGCACATGAGCATGAAGGTTTTAAGTCCCCCCCCTTGCCCCCCTTCCCCCACCTGGGCGCCCCAATGAAGACCTCTCTCTTCCCTGCTCATCCTCCTACCCGCTTCTCAACCCGTCCGCCTGAGTCGACTTTTTAAAGATCTCTTAAAGAGGAAGTAGTTTTGAATGAACTGCTTACACCTGCTCTCTCCGCGGCGCAGCCCCCTGCGCTGCGCACCCCTCGTCCCCCGCGAGGTGGGGCCCCTGTGATGGGTGTCCAGGGCTTCCAGGAGAGCGGGCCGGGCCGCCCTGGTCTTGCAGGCGCCGGACCCACGCCCTCCCGGCTTTGTGAAGCCCCCAGCAGCCTCTGAGTCAGCCCGCCGGGGGAACACCAAAGACGAGTCATTTTCTATGCCCACATCGGATGCCCCTTGCTCAGCGGCAACCTCCCCACCCCGGGATCCCCACCCGGGATTCACCTCCGGAACACAACCGACATCCCCTACCCTCCGGGGCAGCCGGGCCCTATCCGCTTGCTCGGGGCTCTAACTCTCGCCCTACTCTTTCCCAACCAGGTCTCCCGGGCCGATTTTTCTCCGTCTGGTTCCGAGAGCCCGGGCCGCTCCGTCCCTGGGCTTGGATCCCACCGTGATTCCGGTCGCTCGCCCCGGTTCCCTCCGCGCCCCTCCCCTCCCCTCCCCCCCACCCGCGCAAGACCGGGTCGCACCCGGAGGTCCCCAGGCTCCACGGGGCAGGTGGCAGGTTTGCATCTCTTTTCCGCCTTGCTTTTCAACTCACCCCAGGTGACTCGAGCTGCCGCTGCTGCGCGAGGCGCTGGGTGCAGAGGAAGCAGTAGATGACCGCGCCCGCCAGAAGGAGCGGCAGAGCCACCCGCAGGACGGACGCCCAGGGCAAGCGGGGCACCGGGCAGCCGGAGCCCTCCTCTGCCATCGTGGTCTTCAGTCGGCGCTGCATCAGCCGGATGAAACGTCAGCCCTCCCTCAGCTCTGAGGCTTCTGCTTGCCCAAACCTGCCTGGGACCCGCCCCGCCCCACTCTGGGGATGTCCGGCAAAGGGGAGGGATTTGAGTGGTTCACTCACTCAGCAGGGAAATCCCCCCACCCCAGCTCCTGCACACCCCCAGCTCCCAGAGCGGTGGGCCAGCTGCATGGTGCCCCTTGAGCTTCCTAGTTGGCTCCTTCCCCTCACCTTCCTGGTATTCACTCGCTCATTCATTCATTCACTCATTCACTCATTCAACAGATCTTCACCGAGCATCCCCTACGGACCAGATGCTGCGCTGGGCGAGCAGCCAGGGATGGCAGGGAGGCTCTCCAAACACCCACGTGCTTCTCTTCACTTTCCCGGGTCTCCCCAGCCTGCCGCGGGGCCACGTGACTGACCTGCCCAATAGGAGGAGAGTAGAAGCCTGTAGAGGTCACTTTGGTGGCCGGCTCTTACAAACACTTCACATCACCCTTCAGGGTTCTCTTCCTTTCGGAGACCACCTGTCCCTAATGGCTGCAGTGGGTTGAATAGTATCCGGTCCCAAATTCCTGTGCTGCCTAGAACCGCAGTTGGTATGTGACCTCACTTGGGAACACCATTAGATGGGTGTCATTAGATGAGATCATCCTGCAATAGGGTGGGTCCTAAATTCAAAGAATGGCATTTTGTAAGGAGAAGAAAGGCCACACAGAGGCACGGAGGGAAGATGTGAGGATGGAGGTGGACATCAGAGGGATTCATCTACAAGCCGAGAGAGAGAGAGAGAGAGAGAGAGAGAGAGAGAGGCAGAGACATAGGCAGAGGATTGCCAAGGCAGAGACATAGGCAGAGACATTGCCAAGAATTGCTCAGGACACCAGAAACCGGGAAGACGCTAGGAAGGATTCTTTCTTAAAGCCTCCAGAGGGAGCGAGGCTCTGCGGACACCTTGATTTCAGACATCTGGCCTCTGGACCTGTGACAGAATGAATTTCTGTCATTGTAAGCCACCCCATTTGTGGTACTGTGTTGTGGCAGCCTCAAGAATCCTACAAGATGTTAGAGAGATGGCCTGGGCTTGCAGGATCATGCCCATCGCAGTTGGTATCAGTGAATCTAACCCTGCACTTTCACTGCATGAAAGCTGCTGTCGCCGCAACGACAAGTGCCCAGAGCTGTGTTCTAAGAAGCTTTGCCGATAGACACCAGAACTTAAAAATTTCCTTCCAAAGTGAGGAGTGGGTAGAGACCTGGTCTGGAGGGCGGATACGGGATAGATTTCAGAGATTTCAGAGCCGGAGCCAACCACTTTGGCTGGTGGGGTGTCAAGAGAAGGAAGGAAGGAAGGAAGGAAGGAAGGAAGGAAGGAAGGAAGGAAGGAAGAAAAGAAAGAAAGAAAGAAAGAAAGAAAGAAAGAAAGAAAAAGGAAAGAAAGAAAGAAGGAAGGAAGGAAGGAAGGAAGAAAGAAAGAAAGAAAGAAAGAAAGAAAGAAAGAAAGAAAGAAAGAAAGAAAGAAAGAAAGAAAGTCAAATGCACCCGGAATCCTTGGGATGCAGGTGATTGGCATTTGTACGCTGAGACCCCCAACTGCTAAAGGAATTACCTTCCCTAAAGCCCTAGGATTAAGTTTGGGGTTTTAGCGGGCAGGACCCCCAAGGGCTTTCCCCCTCAAGCTCTCCTGAGCGTGGTGGCATGATCCTAGAAAATTTTCCCAACCTTCTTTCTTACTATATAACACCCCCCCCCCAGGTTCTAAAGTCTAGCTCCAGCCACTAACCCCATCTCCAGAGCCTCTAGTCCTCATCATGTCCTGTTCCCCACAACGGACTTTTGACGATTTCCTGCAGTCCACCTGGTGTCCCTCCCGACCTCCATCTCAACACGGTAAGACTAATTGCTACAGAGGATAGTCAAGTACGTGGAATCTGCAGTCCCTCAGCGCACCTGTATTCCAGTCTCTGGAATGTCACATTTTAGCTTTGAGGTTTTGAGAAACTCATATCCTCATCAGCTTTTAGGGTCAATGTTCCTGGAATCCCTAACGTGGGCCGTGAAGGGGTTCAGAGGAAAAGGTATGTGTCAGGCCATAGCCTGGCGCCAAGCACACAGCAAGCAAGTGCTCAATAAAGGCCCGCTCTTGATTTTGTTATTTTCACCCACAAAACACTCATTAGAAGAACGTACAAGGGGTATCCCTGGGTGGCGCCTGCCTTTGGCCCAGGGCGCGATCCTGGAGACCCGGATCGAATCCCACGTCGGGCTCCCTGCATGGAGCCTGCTTCTCCCTCTGCCTATGTCTCTGCCTCTCTCCCTCTCTCTCTGTGACTATCATAAATAAATAAAAATTAATAAAAAAATAACGTACAAGGGTACAAACAATTCACAAAGAAAGGAATTCAAGTGGTTTATAAACGCAGAAAAAGGGTATCAACCTCTCTGGGCAGTCAATTGGTAATTACATCAATCCCCAGGTGACAGAAAAGCTAAGAGGTAGCCAAACCCGAAGTCAATTCCAGCTGGAGCAAAGGTTTAAGTGTAAAAAGGAAAAAAGAAACCAGGAAAACACCGAAAGCATGGTGATTTCATAAAAATTCATCCTGGTGCAGTGATGTGTTAAGTATGTTAAAACAAAAAAAGCAAACAAACTAAGAAGGCATAAAAGAGAATGCTGAAATGATTCGCAGATAAATGAATAATTGCTCCATTAAAAATAGCAAGTTTAAGGGCACATACACACGCAAGATGAGAAGCGGGAGTGAAAAAGGAAAAGTGGATCACACACTGACGATTTTCTTTAAGGTATAAAATATATAAGTGAAGTCTTTAAGAAATGACTGACACTCTCTAGAAACGTGAAACAGAAAAAGTCCGTTTATAAAAAGAAACGCATACGCACAAGAAATAGCATCAAGCGATACACTCTTTTTTCATAATAAGAGAATTTGGAAGTTCAAAGCCGGTGGGATACACATTTTTCATTTTCACCTGCGGTTTGGTGAAAGATCAAAGCGCTGGATGATTTGCTTTGTTTTCTCGGCATCTGGCTGGGAGGCATCCTCCCGCCCAGATGATGGGATTTGAAATGGATCCACACTTTTGCAAAGGATGAGGTAGAGCAGAACCAGTCAAGGGACCAGAATACAGCTTCCCTGTGTCCCAGCAGCTGTCCTTGAAGGATCTTATGTGATAAGCACACCCTCACACATCACAAACACGGATGCTCACACATAAGTTCGACGTGGTGTGATTTGTAGCAACAAAAGGGAAAACAAAACCAACGCAAACACCCATTTGTTATTGGGGACTTACACCTGTGATAAATAAAGAATCACATTTTTGAGACTTTGCATGGTCGGTGAAGCGTGTCATGCTACGACTTCCATCTTTCAGGGCAGCAGGGCTAGAAAGATGAGCCGAAACCACCTCGCAGAGAGGTGGGTGGAGGGGGTGTGCCTGAGTTTGATTGCACATGTGCACCCCATGTCTGGGTTTTCCCTGCTGCTCTGAAATTACTGGCCTGGGACATTAGGGGGGCTCCATCAATCGATTGTTCTCCCAATTGTGCCGTTGTGCTGGGGCGGTGTGGGATGTTTGAGGAAGTTCCGAAACCAGAGCTTCCCCTACCTTCAAGCAAGAGGCTGGCTCCCTCCCCTTGCCAGCTAACTTTCCACCTCCCTCACTACTCCTTTTGACCCGCAGGGAAGGAAGAGGATAAAGCCACCCCCTCCCCTGCCCTGGGGCAATCTGGTTGCAAGGAAGTAAGATCCCTTTTCTCCTGAGCACGGTGTTTCCGAGAATTGCAGATATTTGCAAGCATTCCTTACGAAGGCTTCTCAGATTGACTTCTTTCACTCAGTAATATTCATTTACATTTACATTTCCTCTGTGTCTTTTCGCGGTGGAGCCCTCACTTCTTTTTAGCACTGAATAATATTCCGATGTCTGGATGCCCCGCAGTTTATTTGTCAATTCACCTACTGCACACTTGCTTCCAAGTGTTGGCAATTATGCATAAAACTGTGCGGGCATACGTTTTCCAACTCCTTTGGGTAAATACCAAGGACTGTGATTACAGATTCCTATGGTGAGGGTATGTTTAGATTTATGAGAAAATGCCAAGCCATCCTCCAAAATTAAGCCAAGCTTCTATACGTGGTGGCTGGATCCTAAGAAGGCAAAACTAGAAGCTGATGGTCACAGGATCTCAGCTTGGAAGTGGCAACTGTGTCACTTCCATTGTATTCTTTTGGTGAAAGCAAGTCCAAAGATGAACCCAGATTCAAGGAAATGGGAAGTAGATTGAATCCATGACTTGATGGGAGAAGGAACACATGCACATAGAGATGGGGAATGGTTGGGGATCATTTCTGCAGTCTACTAAAAGGACAAAGTTCAAGCCTGAAAAAGGAACTAATGTAGTTTTTAAACATTTCTAATTTTTCCCAGATTTATTGAGGTATGATCAACAAATAAAAATTATATGCCGCTTAGGTTGTATTATGTGGTTTTTTTTAAAGATTTTATTTATTTATTTATTTATTAGGGACACACAGAGAGAGGCAGAGACACAGGCAGAGGGAGAAGCAAGCTCCCTGCAGGGATCCCCATGTGGGACTGGATCCCTGGATCCCAGGATCATGCCCTGAGCTGAAGGCAGAAGCTCAACCACTGAGTCACCCAGCTGCCCAATGCAGTGTTTTTTTTTTAAAGGTATACAACACGATGATTTAATATATGTTTACACTGTGAAATGATCACCACTATCAAGTTAATGAAGAGGTCCATCCCCTCACAGTTGCCATCCTGCTTTTTTTTGTGGTGAAAACACTTAAGATCTATTCCCTTAGCAAATTTTTTTTAATCTTTTTTTTAAACATTTTATTTACTTATTCATAGAGACACAGAGAGAGAGAGGAAGAGACACAGGCAGAGGGAGAAGCAGGCTCCATGCAGGGAGCCTGACGTGGGACTTGATCCTGGGTCCCCGGGATCACGCCCTGGGCTGGAGGCCAAGCTAAACCCACTGAGCCACCAGGGCTGCCCCCTTAGCAAATTAAAAAAATATATATTTTATTTATTTATTTGAGAGATAATGAGAGAGAGAGAGAGAGAGAGAGAGCACAGAAGGAGAGAGAGAAGCAGACTCCCCACTGAGCAGAGAGCCGGACTTGGGGGCTCGATTCCAGGACCCCAATATCCAGATCTGAGCTGAAGGCAGATGGTTCATCCAACTGAGCCACCCAGGTGTCACCCCTTTAGCAAATTTTAAGTCTATAACACAGTGCTACTCATTATTTCATCATTCTGTCACACTAGGTTCCCCAGAACTTATTTATTATTCAAAGTTTGTACCGGTTGACCAACTTCGCCCCTCTTACCCCGCAGCGCCTGGCAGCCACCGGTCCACTCTTTAGTTCTACGAATGAGACTTTTTAGATTCCACGTATAAGTGAGACCATACAGTGATTGTCTTTCTGCATCTGGCTTATTTCACTTGGCATAACGTCCTCCAGGTTCGTCCGCCTTGCCATGAGAAATGAATGTGGTTTTAACTAACAACTTGACCAAGACTCCCATTCAGTGTTCTGGGTTTGTGAAAACCTAGACCACCTACTCCCAGGTTTCTTGAAAAATCTGCACAGGTGACGACACAGGGAGAAGATGTGATCAGCAGGAGACCTGTGGCGTGAGAAGGTCACCTCTTGTGTTGAAGATCATTTTCAGTGGCAAGGAAATGGGAAGTTGATCAACAGTGATTACTTTTGTTGAGAAAAGTACTTTCCTCAGAGAATAAGATGTTTGGAAATGAATATTTGCTGACATGGTTTAGCTGATCAGTGGAGCCATCAGTACCAGACCCAGGCTCTGTCTTTTTATTTTTGCCACTATCAACATAAAGGTTTATTTTTAACAGAAGTATAATTTCTATCTAATAAAATTCACCCATTTAAGTGGATAGAGTGATGATTTTTATCAAAAGCACAAGGTCATATAATAATACCACAGTTGAGATCTAGAATATTTCTGTTGCCCCAGAAAGTTACCCTGTGACCCTTTTTTTTTTCAACTGGCTTTCCATAACTCTTTAGCCTCAATTTTAACTCTTTAACTAACTTTCCATAACTCTTTAGCCTCAACATTTTAAACAAATATTTTATTTATTTATTCATGAGAGAAAGAGTGATAGAGAGAGAGGCAGAGACACATGCAGAGGGAGAAGCAGGCTCTATGCAGGGAGCCCGATGCGGGACTCGATCCTGGAACCCCAGGATCACGCCCTGGGCCGAAGGCAGGCGCCAAACTGATGAGCCACCCGGGGATCCCCACCCCATGACCCTTTTATAGTTGCTCTTCCCAATCCATCCATAGGCAACCATCAATCTACTTTCTGTCACTCTGGTTTTGCTTTTTCTACAATTTCATGTAAACGGAGTCCCACAGTATCTTTTGTGCTTGACATAATGTTGTGTGTATCAATATTGCTGAGTAATCTTCCATTTTTTTGTGCATTCATCAACTGATGGGCATTTGTGTTGTTTTCAGTTTGGGGCTATTTCGGATAATGATGCAATGAGCATTCTGTGTGGGTCTTTATGTGGGCATGTTTTCACTTCTCTTGGACAAATTCATAGGAGTGGGACTGCAGGTCATAAGCCAAGAGTATGTTCAACTTTGTAGGGAATTTCTGATTGTTTTCCCAAGTGGCCATCCCATGTTGAGTTCTAGTTGCTCCATATCCTCAACAATACTTGGTTTGGTTAGTCATGTTAGTTTTAGACATTCTTGTGGTAATTTGCTGTCATTTTAAAAAAGATTTTATTTATTTATTTGAGAGAGAGCACAAGCAGGGGGAGGGACAGAGGGAGAAGATGTGGGGCTCCATCCCAGGAGCCTGGGATCATGATCTGAGCTGAAGGCAAATACTTAACCGCCTCACCAACTGAGCCATGCCGGTGCCCCAATTTGTTGTCATTTAAATTTGCACTTTGTGCTTGCTTTACGAGCACATATACTAAAATTAGAATGATACTAAGAAGATTAGCATGACCCTCTGTGCAGGGATGACACGCAAATTTGTGAAGCGTACCGTATTTATAAATAAATAAACATAAATATTGAGCATCTTTTCATATGTTCATTTGTCTGCTGTATAGCTTCTCTAGGACATAGCTATCCAGCTTTTTGACAATTTTCTTTTTTCTTTTCTTTCTTTTTGCTGAGGTTTTTGTCTTTTAATCGTTGAGTTGTAAGAATTATTTTTTTAAATAAGTAAATTTTATTTATTTATTCATGAGAGACACAGCATGAGAGGCAGAGACACAGGCAGAGGGAGAAGCAGGCTCCCTGCGGGGAGCCAGATGCAAGACTCAATCCCAGGACTCCAGGACCATGACCTGAGCCCTGAGCTGAAGGTAGACACTCAACCACTGAGCCACCCAGGTGTCCTTGATATATTCTGGGTACAAATTCCTTTTTAGATGTATGGCATAAAATATGTAAATATTTATTCCTGTTTTGTGAATTTTATTAAACTTTCTTAATCAGATATTTAGAAGAGCAAATATTTGCAATTACTCAATTTTTAATTTATTTTAAAAATATTTTATTTATTTGACAGAGAAAGAGAGAGCACAAGCAGAGGAGCAGTAGGCAGAGGGAGAGAGAGAAGCAGCCTCCATGCTCAGCATGCGGGTAGATCCTAGGATTCTGGGATCATAAACTGAGCTGAAAGCAGGTGCTTAACCCACTGAGCCACCCAGGCACCCCCTTACTTAATTTTTGAGAGAGAGAGAGAGAGAGAGAGAGAGAGAGAGAGAGAATGTTGTTAGCGGGATTGAGGAGAAGGGCACAGGGAGAGGGAGAGAGAGAATCAAGAATTGTAACTAGACTCTATGCCCAATGTGGAGCCCAACCCAGGGCTTGATCCCAGGACCCCAGGATCATAACCTGAGCCAAAGGCAGACATCTAACCGACTGAGCCACCTAGGTATCCCAGATGTTTTTAATTTTTGTATGGTCCACTGGATTCTTCTTTCATGGTTGAATGCTTTTAATATCAGTAAGCGTTCTCTATTTAATCCCTCTTTTGTTCGCCTCTTCTTAGGGCCCAGAATAGAGAGCAAAGAGTCCCTCTGAGTCAGGGCATGCCTGATAGATCTTGTCTTAGAGAACATTCATTCAATCAATAACTATTTAATAAGCATTTACCCTGTGCCAGGCATTGTTACAGGTACTGGGGATGCAATGGTAAAGAAAACAAAGTTTCTGCTCTATGAAGTTTATGATCCAGGGGTGATAGACAAAGAACACATGGTGCTGTGACTGCCTCTCCCAGATCCTCTTTGCTGGGCCATGGCACCCAACCTCCAGCTGCTGTGGGTGTTGGCTACTAATGACTCATTCTTGTACTTTATTTTTTCAAGAGAGTGTCCTTGCCTGACAGATGTTTCTTTGCTTGAAGATGCTATGAAAGTTATTTTCTCCTCCCTAAGGGTAGCCCTTGGCCAATGAGTGAATGGTTTACATATATAACAGTTCACACTTCTGTGTCTCTGGGTAAGAAAGTCTTTGTGATGCATGTCATGCTCCAGAGCTCCCTATGAGATCAGACTGAGTCAGATTCTCTTCCTTTGCAATCACATCTACATGGCTAGCTTCTTCTGCCCCTATTCTGCTTCCTTTATTCTTCTACAGGTTTATTCTGAGAGACCTTCTTCAGTAAGCCATATGTACATATGGTTTTAGGAGACCCAATCTAAACATTGGGTGCCAAAAGTGGTCCTGGGAAAGGACTCTAAAAGAGATTTTGGAAGAGGGTACCTCACTGATCAGATGTCAGTGAGAACCCCATCCTTGGTGATATGGGGATTTTTGAGCATCCTTTCCCCGAGCCTAGTGCAGTGTGTTAATACTTTCACTAGTGATCAACTGAGATGGGCTACAGGAGGAGGGCTATGCACTAGCTTGTGCCATATCTCTGGTGTTGGAGAGTTAGAGGAAAAAATAACCAAAAAGACTGTGAAAAAAAATAAAAATAAAAAGACTGTGAAATTGAGTGGCTATTGCTGAGCAACACTGATGCTTTGAAGAGAGAGAAGAACAGGCTCAGATATATTAATGATCGGGCAGCCTGGGTGGCTCAGCGGTTTAGCACCTGCCTTTAGCCCAGGGCATGATCCTGGAGTCCTGGGATTGAATCCCACATTGGGCTTCCTGCATGGAGCCTGCTTCTCCCTCTGCCCGTGTCTCTGCCCCTCCCTGTGTCTCATGAATAAATAAATAAAATCTTAAAAAAAAAAGATATATTAATGAACAATTCAGGGTGTAGTGCAAGAGTCTGGGGGCTCTTTGGCAGCATCTGGAAGGGTCCTCACCTATAGTGAAGGTCACGCAGAGCTGAGCATCAGACTCACAACATAATAGTAAGGGTTACAGAATTTTACCTAAGGTTGTTTTGGCTATTGAAGCAAGTTTCCAATATCAAAGTCAGGGTCCTGATGAGGGATGAGTAGTAATGCAAGTGCCCGGGTATGTACAGTTGAAAACTTTGAGTCTCCACATCCCTTGAGCCTCTGGACCCACAAGAATGGTCCCATCTCTGTTGTTGGAAGATTATTCAAAGGCTTTAAATGAAGCTGGTGTCTTGCAGGGCACCCTCTTTAATAAGCCCTCTATAGGAACCTACTCCCCTTCTCTCCTGGCCATGGGGTCAATACTAGGGTCAGATCTTCTCATAGCTTGAATGTGAGAGTGTGGTCCTGCTAAGAACACAGACAGAATCTTTTGCCATCAAAAAACTTTTATTGGGACACCTGGGTGGCTCAGCGGTTAAGCATCTGCCTTTGGCTCAGGGTGTGATCCTGGAGCTCTGGGATCGAGTCCCACATCGGGCTCCCTGCATGGAGCCTGCTTCTCCCTCTGCCTATTTCTCTGCCTCTCTCTCTCTCTGAATGTCTCTCATGAATAAGTAAGTAAAATCTTAAAAAAAATTTTTATTTCAGTGTTATTCACAATAGCCAAGACATGGGAACAACCTAAGTGTTCGTCTGCAGATGAACGCATAAAGAACACACACACATACAAATGGGGATAATGGGAAGACATTTGTTAAAGGATAAAAACTTCCAGTTCTAAGATGAATGAATTCTGGGGATCTAATGTACAGCATGGTGACTACAGTTAACAACACTGCGTTATATACCTACATGTTGACACCACCACATACACACATAAGTAGCCATTCTGATGGTTGTGTAGTGCTATCTTATGGTTTTAAATAGCATTTTCAAAAAAATAAATAAATAAATTGCATTTTCATGATGCTCAGTGAAGATGTACACCTTTTCAAATGTGTATAGGTCATTTGGACATTCTTTTTCCAGCAAAAATGTCTGTTCTAAGTCTTTTGCTCATTTTCCCATGGATTGTCTCTCTAAGGACTAGGGAGAGTGGTGTGCTCAGATGGAGCATCAAAGCCCTATGCCCCTTCCCCACTCCTTGTCCTGTGCATCTCTTCCATCTGGCTATTCCTGAGTTCTATTCTTTTATAATAAACCAGTAATCTAGTAAGTAAAATATTTCTCTGCATTCTGTGAGCCACTCTAGCAAATTAATGGAACACAAGGAGGGAGAGTCACTGGAACCTCTGATATAGCCAGTAGGTCAGATTGGCATCTGACATTGGGGAAGAGTCTTGTAGGTGTCATCTCCAGGTAGAGAGGGTGAAAATTTAGTTGAATTGTAGGACACCCAGCTGAGCTCTGAGAATTGCTTCAGAAGTGCTGTGAGTGTGGTAGCAGGGTGCGTAAAGGAGAAACACAGGAGGATAAAACTGAGTTTCCCCAAAATACAGACATACACGTGAAATGTGTATGTGAAAAAGCCAGAGATTGGAGTGAGGCATTTACAAGTCAAAGAACACCGAGGATTGCCACCAGAAGCTGGAGGAAACTAGGAAAGCTCCTTCCCTAAGTCTTCACTGAGAGCCTGGCCCTGCTAACACTTAGGTATTGGACTTCTGGTGTATACAACTATGAGAGAATAAATCTTCATTGTTTTAAGCCACCGAGTTTGTAGTGCTTTGTTATGGTGTCCCTGGGAAAAAATACAGTGAAGAACGGTGGAAAAGGCACATTATAGCACAATGGGTAGTAGCTATAAATGTGTGAATTCCCATAGACACAGAGCAGGATTCAACGAAACCATTAGTTTCTCCATGATTAACAGAATTTCGTGTTATGTGTCTCAAACTTAAAGGTTTCAGCTAATAAAAGGCTCATTAATATTTTACTCATTTGGTATAACTTCAGGATCTGTTTTTGGATCTTCAGTGTCAAACCACCTTTTTCTTCCCTAAAGAATACTGAGCCTCTCCGTCTACCTGCAAAATGCACATTTCAATCTTTTGCAAATGTAGTAGGGTTTGAAGCTGACTTGCCAGTATAAGGCTCACCTCTCCCAATGGGTCACAAAGCAAATCTGAAAAAGAATGTTGTAGGGGAATAGTGAGTCTTCAGGAATGAACAGCTTCTAGTTTTGGTTAAAAAGTTTTGCATCTGCAGTCTTGTTTTTTCTTGCCTAATTGCTCTGGCTAGAACTTCTAGTACTATGTTTAATAGAACTGGCAAAAGTAGGCATCCTTGTCTTATTCTTGGTCTTTCATTATCAAGTATAATATTAGCTGTGAGTTTTTCACAATTGGCCTTCATTAAGCTAAGGAAGTTCCTTTGTAGTCCTTGTTTATTGAGTGTTTTTGTCATGAAAGGGAACCAGATTTTTTCAAAAACTTTTCTGTATCGCTTGGAATGATCATGTGTTTTTTCCCTGTCATTTTATCAATTTGGTATACTACACAGACTGATTTTTGTATGTTGAGCTATTCTTGCATTCTGGAAATAAATCCCACTTGTTCATGGGTATATAATCCTTTTAATATGCTGCTAGCTTTGTTTGCTAGTATTTTGTTGTGGATTTTTACATACATATTCATAAGACATATTGGTCTGTAGTTCTCTTTCCTTGTGATGCCATTATTTGGTTTTGGTAGCAAAGTAGTGCTGTTCTCAGCATGAGTTAGGAAGTATTTTCTCCTTTTCA